TTACTTTTCTTATGAAGTGCACTTTTTATTTCATTCGAACTCATTTATGGCTTATATTGCAAAACTGCCAGTTTTGTACTAGGTTTAATAACTACAAAACTATAACAAGGGGAAGTGTCAAATATGTCCTTCTATTATTTCATATCCATCACTTTAGATCATTTCACATCATATAAGCAACTGCCCTCATTACACTTTCAAAATTTTCTATTATATCTGTAATATTTCATAAAAATTTTACCTTTTAATAAGATATATACGTGCGTGTTCGCCTCCTATAACTCTTAATTTTCAAAACCTATATATTGCTTTACATAATAAACTACTTCCGTCCCACTAACAATAGGATATGAGGAGGAGGTGCGATTATTAAAAAATTAGTTCATGTTGTTGATGTATTGATTAGTAAGGTAAGAATAAAGTAAGAATGATTTAGAATCACACATATTTTGTCAACTTTAGTATATGAAAATATTAATGAGACAGACCAAAAAAGAAAAATAAGACTATCTTAGCGGAGCAGGGGAGAGAATATAATACTCCACTTAATATGACGTAAAACGAGAAAATGTAAAATAATTTATCTTTACTTTGACAAATAAACAATAGAACAACTTATTAATGTTAAGACTTATGATACTCTATAAAAAACTCCTAGTTTTATAATGTTAATTTATCTTTATTAGATAATTAGTGCTCGACTTTGTGAATTATTAAACAATATTAAATAACACAGCCACTAGTTAAACAATTTTTGTATAATGTAAAGTAAATCCAAAATGTAAATGTTTTTGACACATTAAAATTATACAATTCTTTGAGTTCTTACTTTTTTAAAAGGAACTTTGCACAAACAATAAATGTTAGACTTATTGTAGCATTAATAAATACAAATCATAATATGCACTTATCTTGAATTAGGAATATAATATTATTTTTAAAATAAATAATTTTATACTCTCTCCGTTCCGCATTGTTTCATTTTACCTTTTCGGAAAATACCTTAAGATTGTCTAATATCAAATTCGGTAAAGTTTGTGTGAATCTAAATCTTTCTTACTTTATTTTCACTTTATCAATTCAATATACTCATTTTTCTTAATAACAATGTCACATCTTATTGTCACAATGTTAGTGGAATAGAGGTAGTATATATTATTGTATTATTAAGAAAATTTCTGGTCGCTTAGGAACACCCTTGATAGACAAAAAATGTAATTCAAAAGTAATTATTTAATTCAATAAGATTCATGGAATTAAATAAGGTTAATTAAGAATGTTTTCATTTGGACTGTTTTCAGCTCATACTAGCTCAAACTAAACCAGATCACCAGACCAGACTTAAACTGATCAGACCAAACTTAGACCGATCAGACCATACCAGATTTATACGGTTATAACATGCACAGAGACTAGACATTTATCAGACTAGACCAGACCAGTTTAGACTAGACCAGACTAGATCAGACTTAAACAGACCAGACCAGATCAACAAATTACAGTCCACAAGAAAACATTCTAAGTTATTTAAAAAGTTTTGGTGAACATGTATAGTCTATATAATTTAAAAGATATTACAAGTAATTTAGATTATTGTAATTTTGGAATGATTTGTATATTCTATATCTTTTAAAAGTTATTACATTTTAATTTTAAATTTTTACACTTTCACTGATTGTTTTTAATATTTTATTATTTTAAAGTATTAAGTTTTTTCTATACTTTTGAGCTGATATTGTTTTTATATTATTTTTTCATTATTTTTCAAATTTACATAATTAAACTTTTGTAAGAATAATAAAACTTTTAATTGTTTTTTTAATAACCTGCTATAGCAGGTAAAATGGCTTAATTGAATGTATTTCTAAGAGTAAAATAATTTAAATACCCCAAACTTTAAAAGGGTGTGAGATAAGTATCTCAAACTCGCATATATATGTAATATATAGCTTGGACTTTCTATAAAAAGTTATTTTGGCACCATGATTGTATGTTTTTTACAAATTCAAATTTATTTGAATAATTGCATAACTTAAAATATTCTAAGCTTTGTTAGAATGGAGTTAACATTCTAAAATTTCATTTGTCAAATAAATAATATTACATCTGGTACGATTTTTTTAAATAGCATCCTCATAAATGTTTGGTGTGTTTTAAATTATGCACTTAACACCATAAAATTATATTTGGGAAAAAATATATGATCATGGTATTAATATAACTTTTTATATAAAGTTTAGGCTATATACTTCCTCCGTTCCCTTTTAATTGCAACAATCAACATTTCACGTTTGCCAACACACAAGTTTGACCATTAATATCTTTCATTCCTTATTAGTAAAAAATTTAAAAAATTCCTATTTTGAAAATTTAAAATAAGAAGAATTTAACAATATTTAAAAAAAAATAATTTATAATACATTAATAAATAAAATATAGTCAAAGTAGAATATGTGAATAGTGTAAAAAGTCCAATGTTGCAATTAAAAGAGAACGCATGTAGTATATTGAAATAATTACATGTGCAAGTTGGGGGTACTAATCTCACACCCTTTAAAGTTCGAAATATTTAAATTATTTTCCCCTATTTTTAAACTAAACGCATTTATAAGATACTTTCGATCTTAGGACAGGGAATTAAGTGATGAATAGAAATAGTAGAAAGACATATTTGACCGTTTTACCTTAAAAATTGTATTACCCTACGTCCATTTCAATCAAATCTTTTTGCTTTAGTTTCTTACTTTGTTGAATTTTCATTTATAGACAATTCATATATTCTCATGATTAGACTATAAACGACTCAATATTTTTACAAAATTTATAAACTACTCATTGCATTTTGTCAATGTGATTTATATGCATGGTACTTGGTACTGTGTTTTTATTGCAACCGTTCTCAGTGGTGAGAAGTGAGGCTATGAATGAAGATGGTCGGCGACGGCTATGATAAGTAGGCCATAACTTGGGTGATGGCCGATATCCCTCGTAACAAGAATAGTGAAAATGATGCTTTTAGATAGTTTTCATAGAAGAACTAATGATACGGCCATAAATACCACCGAAGACTGTATATAGCAAGCGCCCAACATTTTCAGCAAAGGTTCATTTTCTCCACCTTCATAATTAATCTTCTACTAGAAGTAGATGAAATACGATGTCTAGACATTAAATCTCAAGCATGCCACTAGTAGCAAATTCTGCAAATAGGGAAAAAAAAAGGTAGAGTAGCTATAGCAAATTGTTTACACAATTGAGAAAATGAACACATAAAGCCAACAATCTAATAGAGATTGATGACTGCCTTTGGCGAGGATCTAGGATAATTGAGCAAGGTTTGTCCTATATTGACAAAGATATTTGTATCTTCAATATGAGCATAAATCTCCATCTCTTCCAATACTGGTGTCCTCTTCAGAAGGATTCGAGCCAACGTAAGCATTGGTTCACCACCAAGATTTGGATCTGCCAACTTAAACATTTTGATTGTCTTCAAATGCACGCAGTAAGTCACAAACCAAATTATCCCTTGTAGGTGGGGCCCCAGTCATCGTCCATCTAAAATCACAACAAATTTAAGACAAACTTATATTTAATACGAAGTACTACGTAATGTGGAGTAAACACACATTTATATTAATTATCTGAGACAAAAATAAACAAATATTCATACCAAAAATCAAGGCCTGAAAGTTAACACTTACATCTTCGTTGTGATAAGAACGCATGACCAATGTCTCAATTTCTGGAGAAGATTCAAGCACGTCTAAAATGCCAGGAATGGTTTGCCCAGCACCACATATCATTTCTATTTCCAAACACCTTAGCTTATATTTTGGAAGCTGCCAACCATTAAGCACCAACACAGCTAGAGCCTGGACATGTTGCATAGAAACACATATATTATATTTACATAGTATATGCTAATGTAGATCTTCCTGAATATATTCGACACAAGAAAATAAATTTTAAATAGGAGTGGGTTTGGTTTTCCCGTTCGACTTTGAGACAAAATCAATCATGAAACCACGATTTGATTGGTTCAGTTCTTCCGTTTTTACACAAAATTATAGTACAGTAGTCATTTGATTTAAAAAGTGACACAAAAACCAAACCCGCAACATAAAAAGACAATGCGAACATACTAGATAAAAAGTGGAGAATGAATAAATATATCCTTGCATTATGCGTTAGAGAACAGATGTTTGTCTGATTTTTTGGAACAATGTCAAAGTAAGATTATATTAGTATTGTGTATTGAAAAAAGAGTTGATTTTTTTAAAGTTGTGCACTCTCCTTTTGTGGTTTCGTTTATTTTTTATTGTGTTTCAATTTATATTGATTGGATTCTTGGTTTCTAAAACCAACCTTACTTTTGAATATTCATTTATGCTTCACACAATATTAAATCTATGTTTGACCAACTATCTTCTAGAATTTAACCCACATTTCACTTCAATATGTGAAACCAAGACGTACTGATCACCCCAAGTGCATAACAAATGGTTTTTGCTGCAAAACTAGCAAGCTTGCAATCAATTAAGTATTTAAGTTAGCTAATTGCTATTCTTTCTTGGAAACAAAAAAAAATATTTAGAATGCATAATATTTAGAATTTGGTTCTGTACAAATGTTTTTTCTAAACTCGTTGTCTTTATCCCACTAGTGGAAAAAGAGCTTTCTATGTCGGTTAAAATCGACTTTTAATGTCGGTTCTAGACCCGACATAGATTCAGTCGACATTAAAAGTAGACACCTTTTATATGGGGTCTAGGAACCGTTACGGAAAGTTTTCAATATCGGCTATTACAGGAACCGTTATGGAATGTGATATGTACGAATTACACATTCAAAGTCATCTGCAAGTCAACCGTTATTGAATGTAAATTTTAGTGGATAGAACCGAAATGATTTTTTGTTTTTTATCTCCACTATTAGATCCTTTTTTTAAAAATGCAATTCAATATCAAGAAAAATGCCAACATAACAAAATCATATCAATTGCATATTATAAATCATGCTAATTAAAAATACGGAATACAATATTTCCACAATCCCACTAGATATCATATTTTCCAAGTATTCAACAAAAATTACATAGCATTTTAAGAGATGCTTATAAAATACAATAAAAATACTACAAAATGCACGTAATGTCAGAGGATGCCCACTGCTCTTGCGTCTTGTTACATTGAATGAATAATGGATCCTGAACATTGAAAACCTACAAATTGAATAGAAAAAGTAAGCACAAGTAAAACATGTACAAGTGCACAAGTAAAAAAAGGTAGAAGGATAAGTAAAATATTAATATAAGTAAAACGTTATTACCACCATGTATGGAATCATCATCATCTGCATAGATAAAAGCAAATTTCCAAATATGTCAACATTCGAGACTCCAAATTAATCTATAAGTCAATTAATATTACATACCATACATGTAAACTATAAGTATCATCACAGATTTTCATTTTTTTCCCTCTAGGAATAGAATTAGAACGTTCAGTGAAAGACATAAAGCAACACTTAGGTGCTTAAAGAGACCAAAATTTTTCTACAAGAGAAATACACTATCCTCAACGTATTATATCCAAAAGCAATATCTATTCATACATTATTGTTCGTGTATTATATCCAAACTATTAGTTACTGGTGACTCTTGAGCAATGTATTATGTATAAACAACAGAGCTCTAACGGTCTAAATGAAAAGAAACTGATTTCAACATTGTGTGAAATGGCAATTCACGTACTAGCTGCAAAAACTATTTCCATAAGTGATGCAAGTCAGATTATAAACACAAATTAAAGAAGAGATTATTACAAATGGTACTAGACAAATATATAAATAAGTACCTCACTTCATTCCAAACATCATTCCTCAACCCTATAGCATCTTGATCACTTCTTTGTTAACTTGACAAGTTTCATCCTGTATTCCTTTATACCTCATTGGCTCATTTCATATCATCTCTTGGCAGCAAAGAATTTTTAGAGCATAAATAAGTAAGAGAGAATTCCCTAAATAGGAGTAAAAAAGTTTTGAAATTCCAAAATAGGAGTATCATGTTTTTATTCCCTAAATAGGAGTAAATTTCTGCCAAGTTTGGAAATTACAAGGCTTTAAACATGGCATTTTTTTCCAAACTTGGCAGATTACTCCTATTTAGGGAATAAAAAACATGATACTCCTATTTTGGAATTTCAAAACGTTTTTACTCCTATTTAGGGTAATTTCTGAATAAGTAATAGATTTTGTTTTTATTTTTACCTGGGCATGAAGCTGTTTTATCTTCTCTAGCAATCCAAAAAAATGAGACCAGCATCACATATTAATAGGGCCTTTTGATTCCATCTCCTACAATGAATAATCACACCAATGAGTATAACTTCTAAAACATCCAACTTATTACATGAGGTCAATAATGTTACCTTAAAAAGGAGCTCATGTTCCTTTTTCCTTAGTAATAGTTCCAGAATAATGGAGAACACCTTGGTATCTAATTGTTAGGGTGGGAAATATAAATAAAATGTTTCAGTTTGAAAAAAATAAGAGTCGAGAGAACATTGGACAATACTTAAAATTAACCATCTCTTCTCTTTAATTTCTAATCTAATAAGACAGAGATTTTGAAGGCAAATTTTTATGAAAGTTTAAGGCTTTTTAAAAAAAATAAATTATACTCAGCAATATAAAAGTTAAAAGTACTAATAATTTTTTAGACAAAATCTAACTTTAGAGTAAATTGACAAACCCAATACAAAAACACTTACAAAATAGAACTAGAAGTGCAATTTGTTAAATATCTAGTATGAGTGTGAAAATGACTCAGCTCATAGTAGCCATCTTACAGTTGATTTACTTAGTACAATCAAATCACTCCAGTATAATTGAAGGATTAGAAAGCTACTATGTTGAAATTTATTATGCTTCGTTTGATATGTACACACATGGCAAATAATCGTATTTTTACCGTAATGGATGACAGAGAGGCACTAGGAGATGGAACTCCAGCAACTAAGGATGGACGAGCAAGCAGGGTAGTGGAGCGTCATGGTGGAGCGGCGATAGTGAGGCGGCGATGGAGGAGCGGAGATCGTGGAGGGGCGATGGCGGGGCGGCAATGGTGGAGCGAGGATACGGTGGAGCCGCGATGGTGAGGCCGCGATGGTGGAGCTGCGATGGTGAGGCGCGATAGTGGAACCGCGATAGTGAGGCGGCGGCGTCCAGGAGTGTCTTCAGTTCAGCCAACTAGGGTTAATGGGTTATGTCTTTTGTGTAGCTTCTCTCAAGTGAAGTTGGGCTCAATGAAATACTCCTTAAAAATTTTCCACAAGGGTTCAAAAGGAACAGACGTAAAAATCGTATTCTTCAAATTCATAAAAAAGACCCCGAATGTAATTTGTTTTTCATAAAATTATAAATATAACCCCGTTTTCTCTTTTAATGTCGGTGTTTCTTACAACCGTTATAGAATAAGATTTTTAATTTCAATTTGTACCCATCAAAGTGACAAGAACCTTTAATTATTTATGAAATAGACCTCGCTCCTACTTACTATTACGGTTCCTAGCTACCCCATATGAAAGACGAGTTATAGAACATGTATTTTGCACTAGTGTCCAAAATTTATTTTCTCCCGTAACTCTCCTATATAGACACAGTAGATATGTCAATTTGGTTAATGCCATGACACTAGTGAATGAGATGTATTCGTCCACAAGATTTATCACCTGTGTTATCATTATAACCCCATGTTTGCATAAGAATAAACTCCAACAGGTTTATCGTAGTGTCTACCTTTAAAAACAATGACAAACCAACTATTGAATTACATATTGAAGATCATTTGGTATAGATATTCAATGAGACTATTCTATTGAGACAACATAAATGAATTCAACTAAGATATTTTTTTATAAGTTTGGCTATATCACTTGAATTTCAATTTTTGAGACACATGAATGGGAAAAAAACTTGGAGCATCAATACACACCTTAAGAGGTTCGGGACCCAGTTCAAGCTCCTTGATATGATGAATCTTTTCAAAAAATTCTTTCGTACTACTCAAATCATCCTCAGGAATTATCAAATTCCAAAAGGGTTCGATGAAATAAAAACTAGCACTAACAAGAGATGAGATGTCTTTGAGGTTTATTTGTCTTCCGGCATGATGCAACCAAAGACTCAAATATGTTATATAGGGTGCTGAAATTTGAAGAAAACCAACACTTTCTTCATTTTCAGAGTCCCTTACTCGCAGTTCACATAGATTTTGAGAGTTGATCTCCAAACAAGTGAATCCCCAACACTCACTCAGATCCAAGGAGTTCAAAACAGGACACCCTGATAAATTCTTCTCAACTACAGACTGAGGCAAATCCACTCCCGATATTTGTAATTTAGTCAAGGATGACCATTTGATTGTTCTTTCAGGATCCAAAATGCAACCTTCCAGATACAATGATGTCAAGGATGAATTTGAATACATCATTTCAAGAAGAATGTAGAAATCTTGGTTGAAGTTCATTCTCAAACTAACTTCTTTCACCTTATTTTTCAAGGCAAACTGGAGCCAGTTATCAACATCGGTAGAAAAGCAATCCTCGTACTTGAAATCAACCATCAACTTCTCAAGATAATTTCCACGACGATTAGCAATGATCCTATTAACCCAAGTCACAAATTCAATTGTATTCTTACTTTCCTTACTTTCACCCCAATCATAGAATTCGAATTCAAGGCTTTGCAATTCAGTCCAAAGAAACTGCCATCTTTTCCCCAAAATACTCGTATGAGCAGCTTCCTTCACACACAGAAAAGATATGATGTGAACAAGTAAGCAATCTGGCAATGCACTGATCCTATCAATTGAATCCCTAATTCGATTATTTTTCCTAACATTTTCAGAATATAGTTCTACATTTTCAGCTGCAAATTCTTCTCCTTTGCGTAAATCGCTTTTTCCAGATTCTTGAGTTTCTTTAGCTAAACTTTTTTCACTCATCGAGGTGATAAAACACAATCATGAAATACAAGCATGGACTGTTCGAATCCAAATGACTGATTCCGTTGCCTCCACTCGGTCAATAACTTTCTCGATCACTGGAGAGAGATGTATCCTTGCCAAATACTATGTATAATTCTAACTGCGGATATTTGTCCTACTACAGTTATTACATTGGATTAAGGTAGGAGTGTTCGCTGGGTTGGTCTTGGTCAGTGTCGGATGTTTTTTGTTGGTTTCCAGAAGAGTGAACGGGTAACCCAACCGAATGGAATTCAGTCAGTAGGTTTGTATACCTAAAAGAGTCAGTTGTTAGACATGTAATATGTGTTTTCGATTTACTCAGCTATGGTTGACAAGATACAGTGAACAAGCCTGGCAGAAAGTTTTTTTTCCCATCTGTTATGCATTTATGCACAATAAATAAACACATATTACATGCATACTAACCCCAGCAAAACAACAACACTTCCATATTGAAAAGTTTAAAATTCATGCCACCAAATCATTAGAGATTTAAAAGTATCAAAGAAATATACTAACCCCCAAAAATAAATTGTCTAGCACATTCGTGTACTAATTCATCTACGTTCTCAATGGTCAAAAGTGCGATAAATATTCTGTCATTTTATCTAGAATTTCCAATAAAAAATGAACAAGAACAAGGTTCAAGAATTATTTGATTTCTTATAGAAATTTTGTCAAGCACCTTGGAGGCAAGAATGCTAAATACTTTGGTAATATTCATGAATGTTTGAAGCACTAAAAGCATGAAGCATAAAAATTACCAGGAACCTTTAAACTTATATAAGTTGTCCAAAGTTCTAATTCAAAACCCACAAATGGAAAATGGCCGGTAGATGGAGTGATGGACATGAAATCTCTAAATGATGGTGTATTGTTATTGGTGTATTATAAAAACAAATCACTTACTTAGGACAAATGATCTTTTCTTGTGATGTCCATGAATAGCTTGCACAGTTCCATCTCGTGCTAGAAGCGATTGAGCGAAAAGCAGCAAGCTTGGGGTACCAAAACTTTGTAATAATTGAAGTACCTAAGCTTAAAATTATTTTTTTGGTTAGAGATGATCAAAGTTAGGCCTCGGACCGGTTCGGTTCCTAGGCAAAATATGTGGAACCGTTTGAAAACACGAAAATTTTACTAACGGTTCGGTTCTTATAAATTACTTTATAGAACCGTTAAGGAACTGAACCGTTCTTAACGGTTCGGTTCTTATCATTTAACGGTTCCTAGTCTTTGAAAAAATACTTACAAATTACAACTAAATTTTTGGCAAAAAGACATTTTCGTTGGAAATTACATACAAATATGTGGAACCAGTTAAAGAGAATAATAATTTTAAATAGTTTGGACCTTCCGAGTTTCGACCCGCTGGAGTTTGGACCTAATGAGAGGCCTAAGAGAACCGGTTGAAGTGAATAATAGTTTTAAATAGTTAAATAACAAAACTAAAACAATGAATGTAATATAAAAATAAGTAAGTAAATATGCATTAAAATATATATACTCCTAAGAATATGTATATAATTTTAATTATGATATATAACGGTTCCTTAACGATTCTTGTTACATATTTTTTTCAGGAATCGAGAACCGAACCGTTAATAAAAAATGAAAACCGAACCGTTGACAAATAACTAATAAATGTTGGAACTGAACCGAACCGGTTCATAATGGTTCAGTCCGATTCGGTTCTCCGGTTCTTGGTTCCAAAGTCCCAGCCCTAATCAAAGTTATTGTAAAAGATCATTTTAAAATTTTAACTATTTTTCATATATTCTTTTCTTTATTTATTTTTAAAAAGTATTTAAATATAATTTTTTCATAAATCAACAAAATCAGTTAATCCAATTATTTGATCCAGAACTTCATAAATTTCCGTAAAATCAATCGATTCAGTCAATTTTAATGTTACCAAACGAGATCTAAATGTAAAAATAATACGGAGTACTACCTTTGTCCAGTGTTCTAAAATGCGTGAGGCATGACAAAGCCTAGACGTGAAAAGATGTTTTAGACTTCTATTGGTAATTATTACTCTGTATTTTATACTGATATATGAATCACTAAAAAATATAATAATATTTTAATAATATATAATAATTAATATTAATATATTACGAAGTAATAGATATGTATTTGTTAATGAAGAGGACACATATCTATGAAATATGGTGAAATAAAGACAGTTGAAGAGTTTCAAGAAGTGACAGTTGAACTTCAAAAATAGTTTTGTACCGATGTATGTAGTGTTTGACAGCTTGAAAAAGTTTTATGATACTTTGTTTGACAATCACTTCTTTCTTTATTGGCAGTGAATTAATGACTTTAATATACTTAATTGCTCAAGTTTTTGTTGTTATTATTCAATGAATTTTTAATTTTTAGTTTTTAATTGTCATAATTTACATTTATAATTTACTTATTTTGTTTTTCAAGTTAGAACATTTATATTCACCCGTTACTCACCCGATCCACCCGATAACCCGCTCATGATGGATGGGTTGAATGTGGATGTTGTTTTTAATGGATGATGGACGAGTGAGTGGAATATGAAAAATTAACGGGTGGACGCGGATGAGCCTTCACCCGATATAAATCTGACCTGACCTGCTGCCACCCCAAATCCGGTTCGAGTTATTCAACGATGAGTTTGACCCGTCTTACCACCACAAACATGACCTCGACATCCATACCGATCGAATAGAATGGGTCAAGACGGGAGAAACTCTCACAAGTGATTCTTAATTAAATATGAAATACAATTCCGGGTGGAATTTTACCATAACTAAATAGGTTAAATATAAATAACATATTCGGATCCTTAAATATGGTCCTTTGAGAGGTGACATTTACAATGTGGACGATGATCACATTTACAACAATTCGACTATTGAGGAGAGACATTTACACACTTAAAAATGTGGGGACTATATTTCAATGTATGCACTAATTGAGGGACTGAAAGTTAATGCCCTTATTTTATTTGTATCTCAATAAAATATATTTTTTACAGCAAGCCGGCATTTTTTATTTATAAAACCGGCAATGGTGTCAAAAGTGAAAATGGCGGCGCCGTGAGTGGCAGTATCAATGGTGTTGGAAGTGATGATGGCGGTGTCGAGAGTAGTGGCAGCGGAGCCGGTAATGGGGGCGCGGAGTCGTGGATGGCAGAGTCGACGGCAGAAACTAAGGTTCTAGGACAACTTTTTTATTTTTTGTTTTTAATGTAAATAGATTTAAAAATTCATTAAGGATAATTTTGCGAAGAGCTTACATTTTTAGTCGTATGAAATATGGAAGTCCTATTTGTGCATTTCTTCAATACATGTTTAGTCACACTTAGGGGTATACAATCAGTGGCGGAGCTCGTTTGTTCAAGGGTGTTCATGTGAACACCCAAAATATCGAAAATAAAACGTATAAATACACATATAAAATTGGTGTAATAATTTGTATATTGATTTTTATGTAATGATTCATGCTCATAACCTTATTTGTTGGGATTTTAATGTTGAAAAAGTTATTTTTCTCAATTGGTGGACCAAACAGTATTATTGTGAAATAGATAAAATCATTTTGAACACCAAAAATTTGGTTGCAAGATCCATGTATACAATACAACTAGATATGAAAGAAGAGAATTGATATGACAAGTTGTGCATGGACCATGCATACATGCTCCCATGTAGGTTTGTTGTAGACATGAGGGGCGGAGTTAGGGGAGGGCCAACCAAGGCCCTGATACACTCCAAATTTTAAAAAAAATGTATTTATTTTTCGTGTAAAAACTTACGGGTATTTTTTTTCAAAAACAATCTTTGTACTTGCGTAGCCCCGGCTTCAGTGTCCTGGCTCCGCCCTTGGTTGTAGTAGTATGAAAGAGTACACATTCAATAATGAAAAGGGTTTTTTTCAAAAATATTACTAAAATAAAACTTATTTACAAAAATATGACTAATAGTTACTACAATGTAGTGTAACGGTAACTTAAGTTTAAAAATGAACATAAGTTACTATGATCATGGGCGTAGCTAGGGAGGGGCCAAACCTAGCCCTGACTCAGCCCAAATTTAAAAAATGTCTATGGTAAAAAAAATTGTGTAAATATTTTCCCAAAAATATTCTTTGTACCGACCCAGTCTGTCCGAGTGCCCTGGCTCCGCCCGTGACTATGATTTCATTATTATTCTAGTCACTTGTCATATTTTTGTAAACAATCTTTATTTTAGTCATATATATGTGCTTATTTGATTATTTCTAATGGAAAATGTAGAAATTAATGATGTGGCTAATGATATCAATAATATATACTTAAATACCCCTCTTAAGGTGGCGTGTGAAGATCAATTAGGAACACTTAATTTGTTTTGGAGAAATTAAAAATGATCGGTGTCAAGTGCTTTTGTTAAAATGGCAACCACTTGTTTGATGGAGGAGATGCAGAACGCTAGAATCTATTTGCTAGCAATAGATTCTATGCGTTTACAAAGTAACGATTCATTTCTATGCGTTTTGTATGTTTGTTGGAAACCGGTTTAACCGTTTAAGTGGTATATGATGTGCTGCTTGATTGTCAGAGTAAGGGATGTAGGTCTTGTTTGATCAACTGCAAGTTCGTGGAGCAATCAACGCAATCATATAAAAAATACATTGAAAAAATTGTTGTAAAAATTGATGTAATACGCTATTTTATTGGAAAAATTGATAGTAATAATCTCAACTATTGACGGTCCGCTCATAATAATCTCAACTATTGATTATTCAAGAATAATCCCAACTTTAGGGACCTTCCGCCAATAATGGTCTCTATGAATAAATTCTTGTAGTTTCTAAAGTGGATGAGATGAGATATAACAAGTAATCCCTATAAATGATCTCAACTTTTAATTTTTACGCTTAATTTTTATTTAAAATTCACTTTTTATAGAAGGTAATATCTGGTCATGGACCGTTATTGGCGGACAGCCTCTATAGTTGGGATTATACAAAAATAATCAATAGTTGGGATTATTTTTAGCAGGCCGGCAATAGTTGAGACTATTAATGTCAATTTTTCCTATTTTATTTTATTAGTTTAGAGGTATAGTACTTCTTTATTTCAGCTTCATACTTGTCAATTTTTGTTATTGAAAAGATGTACTTCGTATATGTAGAATTGTTTCATCAAATTTAAAATAACTTCGAGCGTCCAAAATTTAGGTGTTAGATCACCGGGCTTAGGGAGTGTTTGCAATAGCTTAAGAAAAAGCACTTCTCAGCTTTTGGCTTTAAAAAGCACTTATTTACCAAACACTTCCAATTTTTACTTTTTCTCGGCTTGCGTGTGAAAAATGTTTTTCCCTTTTCTATTACACAAAAAGCACTTATTTTATCAAACACTACCAACTTTTACTTTTCAAAATCACTTTTTTCTCAAACACTATCAACTTTTACTACTAATCACTTTTTCATTACATCTCCAAAAGTGCTTTTTTTTAAGCAGAAGCAGTTGCAAACACTCCCTTAGGCTGAAGTTCCTAGTTTATTAGAAGTTTGATTTTTATCAATTTCAATAGCTGGTGATTTACTCGTCAAAAAATACACCCCTCTCATAAGCAGAATTTATTAGTTTGAATGATACATTGATACTCATATTAGTCATATATAGAAATATGAGGTGTTTGACTCATATAGGGTATTGATTACCTTCGATTTGATATATTGTAGCTCATTTAAATCACTACGAGTAAAAAGTTATGACTTTTTGAAAATCGCGACTATCTAAATTTGAAATGAGTAAAATTCGACTTAAAATATCAGTGATGTATATTTCCAAATTTTTTCACTCATTACTTACGTGAAGTTTATACTACCTCCGTCCCAAATTGAGTTGTAACTTTGACTTTTCTTGGTCAAATAGATCTGTTTTGTTCGCTTAATTAGGACGTCAATTTTTAATTATATTCCGATTTGGAGGTTACAACTTTGAATAGATTTCAATGTAGTTTATGAATATGTAAATTTTAATTATTAAAAATTGAATTAATTATCAATTAGAAGGTTTGACTTTTATTATTGGTTGACCAAAAAATGTTGACTTTGCAAAACAAATTGGGACGGAGGGAGTAATATATTATCTTCGTCTTGAAAAGAAGTTCCCACTTTCCTTTTATGAAAGTCCCAAAAAGAAGTTCTCATTTGTATAAAAGGAAACCAAAAGTAAAAAATCACAAATGCTCCTACTTTTTATCTGCGTAGTATTTTTCATACTTTTTTACTTTAACATAAAGTAAGGTATACTTGGAAAATCAAAACAAAACTTTATGTCTCTATCTCACATAAATGTGTGTAGGTTCAACCGGAAACTTCATTTCAGAACGGAGAGAGATACGACATACTACGGTATATATCAAATCTATAACTTTATCGGTCTCGTTTAAACTACTATTTGCAGTTTATCTAAAGGAGTGTTTGCACTTCCTTAAAAAAAGTGCTTTTGAGCTTTTGGATTAAAAAAAGCTGAAAAGAGTGTTTTCAAATGACAGCTTCTGCTTAAATTAATCACTTTAAAGCTAAAAGCTGGAAGCAGGTGGAAGGGTGCTTTAAACTGCTTTTCACTTTTTCTATTACTTAAAAAGAACTTATTTTACCAAACACTACCAACTTTTACTTTTTCAGAATCATTTTTTTCTCAAACACTACCAACTTTTACTATTAAGTACTTTCTCCAAAATCACTTTAAAACATCACTTTTTTAAAGTAGAAGCAATCGCAAACACTCCCTAAGTTATATATGAGACATTCAAGTCAGTGTTTAGACGGTTTTGTCCGTTTTGACATTGCTAGGCGCTGGCTCCGTTTAACATTGTCTCATACTACGTAATTCTTAAAAGAATTCTTAAAAGGACTAAAAATTTCTAGGAATATTTTAAGGGACGGTGAGAGTATACATTCTCATAGCCACTTTATTCATTATTCTCAACTATGTTACTCAACTCAAGCTTCTCATCAGGCTTGTCCCCTGCTTGAATATCCGATGATTTCTGTGATAGGACGGATCAACAATTGTGTATTCTTTAAAGCTATTATGGTGGAGTTGTGAGTTCATTGACGAGTTTTATTAAGATGCTTAGCTAGCATTCAACATTTTGTCTTTTTTAATTGCTTAAATTGTTTTTGTTTTTTCTTAGTTTACTTGGAGCATTTTGCTTCATTATGTGTTTTCGCAATCGATAATATTGGTTAGTTTCATTTAATTAGAAGTATGAGAACCTTTAACTTATGGTTGGGAAAAATTTCACCTCTATCGATAGTTATTGATTCAAGTTGTTATTGATGAGTTGATGGTCGCCATTTCTCATTGTTGAGCATCATGAGCATGTCTAAGTAATTTTGTTTTTTCATTGTCTATTGTGCTCAGAAATTCCTTATTTCAATTATTACAAATTTGTGGTTTTCCATCAAAGAAAAGCTTTACGAGTTGTCCTCAAATATGACTAAAAATATACTCATAGGCAAATTATGACTTTATTAAAATTTAGAAAAATACAATATATGACACTTATAGGAAGACGATTTGTTGGTGACTGATGACTTTTCCTGCATCAAGAGTACGATAAAATGTTTGGTGTAGAAAAGAAAAAAGGTATGGATTGTTTCTAGTCCAAATAAAAGTATAAATCAACTAAAACTTCCTTTAACAATGGATGGTTTCCATTTGAGGAAATGTATTACATTAGGGACATATCTTGTTTTAAGAAAATGTCAAGTACTCAACTATATAGATATGGTATTCCATTATTTGAAGTTTTGAACTTCTCTAGAAAGTCAATCAAGGATGATATAAAATCATGAGAGAAAGCCCTTCTGCTGGAAGCTGAGGATGAAATCATCAAGCATCTGTGACAGAGTTTTAAAAGGGGCTGGAAAGCCCAATTCCATTACTTTGGTGCAGTCTAAACTGTGTGGGCTGTCATCTCCTTGTTGTTTGCTACACCTGCAAAACACCAATCATATATCATATGCATACCACATATAAAATGATTTGGCCCACTATAATAAATCAGCAATGATAATGAACTAGAAAAGTTCACCTCAGTTAGTTTTGAGGAGAACCACCATCCAAATATACGTATTTGAGGTGCTTTCGTGTGAAATTTTTTGATGAAATTTTGTGAATATATTCTTCATTGAGTATAGATTATGTCAAAAAAAATTAGCTTAAAATTTAATCAAGATTCAGTTAAATAAATTATTGAAAAACAGTGCGTTTTTTATATAAATTTTGGAGTAATGTTGTTTAATAATTTATTTAACTAAATTTTCGTTTGAATTTTAAGCTGACATTTTATGGACATAATCTGAAAAACATTATCACAAAATTTTGTCAAAAAAGTCATCCTGAAAACATCTCAAATAGACAAGTTTGGACGGTGATCTCAGTCAGAATTAACTGAGATGAGCATTTCTCGATAACGAAATACTCTAACTGTTAATACTTGGTTTCATAAGGATATGATGGATATTTAGTCCTCAACATCTGAATGATCTGAGAGAAGTGAGCGACGGCGCCGGAGCAAATGAGCCTGCTGCCGGCGGCACGGGGTGTCTCCATGGCCAACAAATGGGCTTTCACGGCGTCTTCAATATGCACAAACCCCACAGTTTTGTTGGGGTATTCTCCCGCCACGCCTTTGACTACCGCGAGAAGGAGTTGCAGTGTACTTGTAGGTTGGGGAGTGAGTAAAGGACCAATGATGAAAGATGGATTGACCACCACCAACTCCGTCTTCTTCCCGCTTTCTTGATCTCCCGCCCATTTCCACGCTTCTTGCTCTGCTAGCGTCTTCGCGTAACCATACCACAGCTGCATCCAATTTGGTACTAAATTATAGAAATAGCTCTAGGACTTCTTATGTTTTATAACCATATCATAGCTGCATCCCCGAAAAAGTGAATTGTCTTACCGACAATTTGGGATCACAGATAGTTCCCTTTATTACAATGAAAAGTTCCCTTGTTGAAATGAAAAGCAATTATCTGCGTAGAGACATATACACTTGGCGTGTAAATGAACGTGTAAACCAGCATGCATAAGTAGCATTTTTGCATGTGTCATGCTAGAAACGTGACATAGCGCAACACATACTGTTTAAAATATGATCTTTCAACCAGTCCGTAATTTAAATAATTGATCCCATGTAGTGCTTTCTCAGAAATGGTAAATAATTGGTCGTAATTATTGTATTTTTCAAAAAGTTCAAGTAAATGAACACTAGCCTGAAGGTTTTTTTTTTTTGTACATGAAATAAGACAAGACTAAACTGGACAAGATCCAAGTTAAAAGCTAGATATTGTTTCTCTCCAAAACTTTTATAAATGTAGTTTACATCAAGCAGTGAGTACATAGGAAAAAAGGTTTCGCCCTCAAAAGTTTGGGTCATTAATGCAGCAGCTCTTGAAGTAGAAAATGAAATAGGGAGGAGTAAATATGTGTGTATGGGAGTACGTACATTGTAGCTTTTACAGTAGTCGAGGTCGGACCAATGAGATTCATTGAGGGGGGAGAGCTCGGTGGCATCGTGGCGGTATCTGATGCAGGAGCAGGAGGAGGTTAGGACTACCCTTTTCACCTTTGATCTGCTACAAGAGTTGAGAACATTTAAGGTGCCCTTTACGGAGGGATCGATCAGTGTCATTTTGAGGTTGCCATCATATGGGACAAGCACAGGTGAAGCAGTGTGAAAAACCCCATCCACTCCTTCAAAAGCATCCTCCAGACTTCCTTCCACCATCACATCAGCTTTCAAAATCTTGAGCCTCCCTTCGTGTGAAGCTCCGCCATTCAGATCCCGTAGAAACCCGACCTTTTTCTCATTTTCAGGGTCACGGACGGTTGTTCTTACTTTGTATCCCTTCTCCAAAAGGGCCTTCACCAGGTAAGCCCCTATCAAACCCGTGCCTCCTGTCACGCAGTACTCCACCTCAGCTGCTGCTTTCTTCATCAATTCTTCTCCTTCACCGCCCTCCATATGTTGATGCAAGTGTCTGGTCTTTTATTACTTTGTAGATAAGCTTACTTTCATATGTTTGGCCTTTGGCGTAATATTCCATATTATGTGTGTGTATTTATACTTATAGATGGAATTACATTTGGATGCACATCTTTCTTGTTACATACCTGCCTCTGGATAAGGTACATTGTTGGTGATCCATTGCTATGGCATGCTTATTAGCAACTAGCATGTACAAAATTGCAGTGTGTATTTAGAGTCTTTTTATCATGACTCTTTATCTATATATTAATATGTACAAAATTACAGTGTACTGTACCTTTATAGATGTAAATATGTAATGGCTCAAATCTGTGTTGTACAATCCCATTCTAAATCGGGAAATGCTGGTTTTTAACTGGGCGACTGGTCTTGAACAAGTACCCGTAACATGCTATTTTTGGGTCCAGTTGCGGTTTCTCTAATCTCTAAAATAAGACTGAACATGTCTGTTTCCAGTAACCAAAGGTTTTTTTAATAGGTTAGTAACTGAATTAAAGCATACTCAGAGCACTCAATTCTACCCATCCCAGAGCTGGGCTGCTATTGTAGGTTCTGGTCAAGGTTCTTACCATAAAGAACATTGGAATTTGGAACTAGCCCGTGTCCACCCCTAGTTGGCTAGTTCAAATATACCAACTAATCATATGTGTGTATCCCAATTCCCAAGTAGGGAAGGTCCGGTCCGGTCCGGTTAGTCTGAAATTGACCCGAAATTGGTTTGGTTCTAATCCCGAATTCAATTTCTTTTACAGAGCTCAACTTTCTGGAGAGGGACAGCCCATAACCAGACCAAGAACCGGAATCTGCAACAGTTAACCCACATTGGCGAGAGTGTGTATGGAGATTGGAACTGAATCCTTCTGCACCGCCTCTTAATCCAAAAGGCATATACAATCTTGATGTGGAGTGTGTGTGTGTGTCTGAAACATCATATAAAAAAGTACATGCACCAGTAAACTGAACGAGGGATATAGAAAATGGACACAAGCCTACACAAATAGGTACCTTGAACTGGAAGCCAAAAAAACAATCATATCGTCATATATAACATAATAATAAAAATACAGGTATACATACACTGACATAAATATAGGAGTATATTTAAGGGGGATTTCCTAAGGACACCTCAGTTATACAGTTTATTCACGCATACACAACAGATACAAAGGAGGGAGCAGTGGTCCTACTGGTGGGCTGTGCACTAACCCCAAATTAGATTGAACCATAGTCCAAAGAATCCCAACTCAAGGGACAGTACAAGTTATTGACGACAGGTAAGCTCTTGAACAGAAGAGCGACACAAACACATACCGCAGCAATTGCGACCATCGAGAGCATGGCCGGCCTATAAAGCAAAGATCTGCTGCCGGTTCGGTATGGAATTGTCTTCTGATCACACATCCGGCACGCTGCCAGCTGCTGAATGGGTTTCATATCAGTCCTTGAAATCTCAAAGCTTGTGCCCGCACCGTTGTTTTGCTTCAAGTTGTATTTCCCTTCCAGAGAAAAAACACTGGGGATATCAACTACCACATGGCCAGTGGTAGAAGCTTTCCTGTTAAGTAGTTTTCGCTGGACGAGATGGATGTATGAGTAATGCCCTCGCAGGCGGGCATAATCTTCTGGAGTAAATCCTGCATTATCGCGAGAGTTCTTCCATGCTTCCATTCCCACCTGCATAGAACCCCCATGTTAACATCCAAAAATGTGTTTCCATGTAGTAATAAAACGTGTTAGATAAAAGGTCTATGAGAACTACCACTGCACATGTCATTTTATAAAATCAATAGAGCATTATTACCGACATCCATTCTTCTTCTTTTCCATCTCAATCATGCATTAAAGTCATTTCTAACAGTTTCAAGCAGGATTATTAATTAAGGGTAGTTTAGATGTAGTTTGGCATCAGCTAAACATAAAATATATCAAAGAAACCTAAAGACATAGAGCTAGTCCTCTTCTCAGATGGAACTTTTAGGATTAAACCCCTAAGGGAGATATAATACCTGACTTTTTGGGCAATAATCTAGGATATTTAGGGTCTGTTTGGAATCTGGAAAATATCATGGGAAGAAAATAGAGAGGAAAATTGGAAGGAAAGAAAACTAATGGGAAAATAAAAGACTTGAAATTAACAAATTTAGTTTAATATTTGTTGATTCTCATTTTATTTATATCTTATTATTTAAAGACTGAAACCTAAATGTAGAATTTTAAAAATAATTAATCATGCTTCATTTTCCTTTTCAATTACCAAGGTAAAACCATACATGTGAAAAACTTTCCTGATCATATTTTCCCGCTTTTGGAGGTATATTTAGGATCCAAACATACCTTAATGAGTTCCCTAATTTGTGAGCTTAAACTTAAAACGTTAGTCAATGTGAAACAGAAGGGACTGCCCATTTCTAAGTAGAAGAGTTGAGTACCTTTCCAGGATCATCTGTCAATGCATCAATTACATCTTCAGATCCATCTATACCTGCTGCAACGTGGAGAGGTGTCAAACCTGAAGGACCTGCAACATTAGGTTTGAACAAATATCCACTTTCATATCCCACCAGGTCACGATATTCCACACTTAGATCATCAGCCACTCTATCGGGAGTGTATTTCAATAACAGCTCCACCAAAGACCTCGAATTTCTCCTAACCGCTTTGTGAAGGAGACTCGTCTCAGAGAAGGCAACTTTCAAGGAGGAAGGATTATCTGTACTGCCCACACTCCCATTAAAAAGAATGTCCAACAGCTTCTTCACAACCGCACACCAATTATGGTCCACAGAGAACTCCATAAGCCATGCAAACCGGTTTAAAGAGAAGCACATCTCACTAGGATCTTCCGATTCCCCCAATCGTGATCTCAAATTGCTTCTATGAAGAAGCCAGCCCAACTCGTGTAGGAAATCGATGGCTTGATTTCTTATTTCCATTTTATCAACTTCCCCATCAAGATACTCTTTCTCAGTCAACTCAATCTCATTCTCAAGTGTACATATTTCAGAGCAAACATCCTGCTCAGCAACTATAAAAGGAAAAAAGTTGCTACCAAGACCATCACCTTCAACCTGGATAAACAAAGGTAACAGAACCATCATTTATTTGAAGAAGACCCTCTTGCTTTGTACTATTAGAAACATATTGGATTCCATTTGGCACGAGAAGTATAAGCTCACATAAAATGAGAAGGCTGGAAAACAGAGGAAGTCAGCTATAACTCACCTCTATGAAGCCTCTTCCAGCAGCTGCAGGAAAAGAACATGTAAGGTTTACATATTCGACCATATCACACTGCTCAAGGTCATTATCATTATGTTCTGTTGTCTCTATACTAGCCTCTGGAACAAGATAGTTGCCTTCTATTGCACAGAGCAGCCTGGGAAGAGGAAATCAAGATTTCAGAAAAATATTCAATTATTTAATTATGCAAAAGTTTTCATCTTTTGCAATGGAGCCAAAGACTCACTATTTTTTGGCTTGGAAATATGATGGAATAAAGCAAAATGGCCCATTAAACTATTTGCACTTCCTTGTTATGAAGTAGTAGTCAGTCCATGCAATTTTCGATGCAAATTTCACTATGGGTCATCCGGAAACAGTCTCTATGTGCTTTAGTACAGGGGTAAGACTGCGTACATCCGACCTTCCCCCTTACCCCACCGTAGGTGGGAGCCTTTGTGGCACTGGGGTGATGGTGATGATAATTTAATTATGCAAAAGTACTTTACCACAACAAAATTTTAAAATTTGCATCTTCATGGAGAGTATCGCTGTGTCGGAGCAATAGATTATCTACAAACATTATTTTAAGCAAAACTGTACCCCAGAAGAAATAAATCTATATAAAAAGGCTGTGGGCCTGTGGCTTGAAAGTAACATATATCATACCTTGTGGCGGGCCCAGATAAGTTAAATCCTTTCACTGTGATTTGAGATTTCCCAGACACAGGTACAGCAATAGGCTTGACACTTAGAATTGTGCTGTTTTCATTACTTTTGAAAGGCAGAGAAGATTCCACTACAACTTGACCTATAACAAGGAAAAGTTCAAAAGGTTAAAAAAACATCTTAGAATATGAACTAGGAAGTAAACAAAGACAATTTCCTATTCTTTGGTAGGGAATGGGAGTAAAGTAGTAGACTATCCAAATAACATATAATGTGAACAAACCACTGCACAGGAATGCTATTTGGTTCTGCACTCTAACATAAGTCCATCCATCTCTCCAGAAACTGTTATCTTCAGGGGCATCCAGAAGTCTGCTTAAACTGGAACCCAAACAGCAGCAAAGCTACAAAAGCAATACAAAGCCCAAATATTGACAAATTCTAAAGTAGTTGCAGACAAATTGTCTAAAAGTCGTGCTTTGAGGTAGCAACCATACCTCATCCCAAGAAGATTCAGGTAGACGAAGATATACAGTTAGTATGACACAACCAGGCTTAATGTAGCTCTCCATGTCAGTAGGACTGTGAGATAGCCAATCCAGAATCTGTCATTCAATATCAAAATAGAAAAGTTATTGAACTGGTGGGGAATGATGAGCAAGGCACTCAACCTCCAAAAATATGAAATAGAAAAAGAGGTGCGTAAGAGCTTAATGTTGTACCTGTGCACGTAAAAGAAATGGGAAGTCGTTTGGATTTTTTCCAAATAGTTTAAAAACAATACGATCAGTGCGGCTCTACAGTACAAAAAACAAAAAGTTATTACAACGTTACAACATAACAAATTACATTCATTGATGGATTTAGGTAAAAAATGACTAATCCAATGGTGCAAAGGTAGGAACAAATATACTGTACCTGAGGATCTCCATTGGAACTGGATGGTGATTGTGCGGAACCTGAGTCTGAATGCCCACTTGCTTGAGGTGGGCTTGACTGATGGGAGTCCTTTTGTGCCCACGATGGGCATTCCGGGGAGCCAGCAACCAAATCAGCTGGGACAGGCAACCTCTCTACATCTTCAACACCATCGTCCGAATCAATATAAATGTCATTTAAATCAAAAACAGCCAATTTACTCCTCCCAGCAGAACTTTCCTGACCCAATGCAGTAGCCAAGGAACTGCTTTCATTAGGAAACATGCTAACTGCTTCTATTGGTAACTTAGACACAGAAGCAGTGGGAGCTTGTTCTTTTGGTGGTGAAGACGCCGGAGACCCATTTGAGATCAAGGCAGATATTAATTCTGAATCTCTAAAAGTGGGTCCATTGCTCAGCAAATTCGAAGACTCGTTTAGAATGCCAGATATACTTTTGTCTCCGGTCAAGGCACCCTGGCTAACAAGATTCTTTAGTAGGTGAGAGAGAAGGTTCTGGTCCTCTTTGGAGCTCCCCGTGTTTGCTGCAGTTACAAAAATAAGATAAATTTCATGGTATTAAAAAAACATTGATAAACGTCTAAGTTTGATGATAAGACAATATGGTGAACATAAAATATAGAGGAAAAAGAGGATTACTTACCGTTCATGTGGGCAAGTATCTTAAATAAGCTCATCAAAAGATAACTAGTAGCTTGGCTATTATTGTTATCAATCATTGCATTGTTATTAGCAACTGTTTCTGGTTGAGTCTTCCTTCTCCTTTTATTATGACCAGCTAGTCGTCTTCGACAACTACGCTTCCCATCATCGAACTCTTCAAGCGCATGAAACCTATAGATACAAGATAAATTTGATGACACTAAATAACGGTCTTTTGCAGGACCAAGATCTGCAACTTAGTGTGGCAATAAAATGCTGAACTTTAGAGTTCAGACGTATTCTTAGTTTACAGCTTCAAAAGACTTGCAGAAAAAGGAACATAACTATTCAGAAATTGAGAATTTAAACTGTTTAGAGTCACAAAGTTAGAAAAGACCAATCTTGATAGAAGTGCATAATATGCCAGCCTCTCCAGAAATGATCAATCAAAATGAAAGTTATGAGATGGGAGAGCACATTAAAATTCATATACTGACCTGCTACACTGTTGGCAGAAACGCTGCAAAATGTTGCTCACAAGTGCCTTGGTTGCCTTGGAGTGCATTTCACAAACTTTATGCCTTCTGTGGTAGTCTTTAGCTTTGCTGAGATCTGCCACACAATCCTCCACTTGACAAGCGGCGCCTCGGATTGAAGTGGATCCAGAGAGCTTGATCTTTTTCCCAACTGTTCCATCCAAGGCTTGCCCTTCTCTTTCATCACTAGGAGATCCATGTTCCCCAAGCCTCAAGGTGAGATTGCCCGTCTCGCCTTCAAGGTTATCTTCATCCTCCACGAAAACAACCCTCTGCCGCTTCTCAAACCCCCTTACCTCTTTCCTAGACACAATATTCACTTCATCAGAGCAATAGGAGGAGCTGTTGGATGTGGAGATTCCTGTTTGGAGCGGGAAAAACTCCCTGCTTTGGAAATTTGGTGGGTTGGGATTGATAGGCGTGGCGCGGAAAAGATGACTGTCCCATTTCCAATCACAGGGATCCCAATCCAGGCTCCTGTTCCCGACAACCCTCAAATCTGCTGAGCCTAAATTATAAAACAGTTGAGCTTGACCTCCAATCCTGGCCTCCATTTATAGGCCTGCCAGATTGACACACCCAAAGTAGTAACTATCAAGAAAGAGAAAGTCGGAATCTTGCGGCAGTTGCAGATCAGAGCACAAATTCCCAGAAACTCTTCCAAAAGGGGGGAAACATTAACCCAAGCTAATCAGCATCACTCAGACCCAGAAGCAGTGAATGAAAATCTACCCAGATAGATTCATGATTCCAGCTAAGATCTACACACATGACTTTCCTCTCATTCAACAAAGAACGGCTTCTATACTTCAATTGAGAGAACTGGCCACAAGAATTTCTTCGGTAGAAGAATATATCTCCAAAGACTCAATCTTTTGTAGATTTAAAAGGCAAGAAACCAAAAGAATAAATATATGGGTACAAGAATGGCTGAAATCTTAGTTGAGGGCGGCGCTAAGGGTTGGGAAAGGAAGGCTTGTAGCAAAATGCGAAAGGTTGGGTAGGAAGGGATGATAAGATGGAGGATGTTAGTACAGTGGTGGGAGAAAGAGAGAGAGAGAGAGAGAAGAAGAGAGAGAGGGAGTAGCGTGTGTGGTGATGTGTAATTAGCGCCTTCTTCCCTTTTCTCTTTATTTTATTTTATTGTTTTTCACCATTGCATGGAAAGTTAGTTACTAGCTCTAGCGGCTAGCCTCTCATATGGTGACGCACAGCAAAGAAAAAATGAAAAAGATGCTAACAGCTAACTAATCTTCGTAAAATTTATTACTCTGTATTATGGTATGGAATTGTCTTGTTGACCATACTTTCACTTCATTTTATAATTCTTTTTTTCTCTTAGAGTAATTTCCTTTTTAGGAAGTTTTTAGTACTTAATTCATTTTTCATATTGACTTTTTTCGTAATATGTCACTTGGTTGATTGGTTCTCATTTTTGGATGTTTTCTTTTGGACCGAAATTTGGTCTGGTCCGGTCTGGTCTGAACTGATCTGGTAATCGTCTGGTATCTGTTTATTTTATAACTATGGAAGTCTGGTCTGGTCTAATCTAGTTTGGTCTGGGTTGAAAACAGTCCAAAAGAAAACATCCTTAGTCTTATGGGTGTTTGGATCTAATTCTTAAAACTGTTTCTGCTCAACCAAAGTTAGAGTGTTTGGTGAAAGTGCAAAAGTACTCATGGTGCTCTAATTTACTCCTAGAAGCAGTTTCTTCAGAAGATGGGAGAAACCAGCTTTCGAAAATTGATTTTGATTCTGATTCTGCTTTAACAAAAGAAGCAGAAGCAGAATTAGTTCCAAACACACCCTTACTTTCTCTTCTTTTGAATGGTTCTATCTGCATCCAACAAAATTCGACTAATTTTAACTTGTACATGAAAAAGTAAAGTAAAAATTTGTGATAGTGGACTTAATCTGGTAGTATAAATTGGATGGCATGTATGGATGTTTTCACTTGGATGAAATTTTTTAATCTGGTCTGCTTTGTTTAAATCTGGTCTGACCTATTCTCGTATGGTCTAATAAATGTATAATATCTATGTATTTTGCAATTGCTAAAATCTGATTTGATTCATTAAAGTCTAATATGATCCGTTTAAGTCTCGTATGATCTAGGAATGAAATAAATCAAAGTACAAACATTCTAATTCTCTCAATTTTATCAATTATGTAAAAAGGAAATCATAACACAAAATTAAAATAACACAATGATATGGAGTAATAAATAAAGCATGTATGAATAAAACTAATCAAATTACACTAGGTACAACATAGCATGTTCCCTTCAAACAAGAGCCATGTTGCCATTAACACGCACAAAATGCGCATATATTATATAGGGAGTATATAATAATACAGTATTCAATGCGACAAAACATGCAACAAAAACTGGTCTTCGATATCTACTTATATTTAACTTCAATATTCATACTGTACTAACTCCTGTTCAGCTGTTCTGTATCTTTTTTCTATATTATATTAGATGCAATGCATTTTCTCTATTTGTTAATTGTACAGAGGAGATGATTAATTTAGCGAGTTCAAAGATGATTTTGTTGATTATGGTGCAGTGGAGTAGGATACGGAATTTTATGCTATTGGGACAAAACAAATTTAATACTCCCTCCGGTTCTTTTTAAACTTCAGTGTTTGACTTCACAGTTATTAAGGAAATAAAGTTGACTTTACTGTAGAGTACACTGTTGAGACATTGTTTGGCATTGTTGAGACAATGTTTGGCACTGTTGAGACACAGTTTAGCATTGTTTAACACTGTTTTGATGTAGATTTCTTTGTCAAATAAGGAAATAAGAAAGTGTGAAGTTTATTTTGGACCGTCCCAAAAAGGAAAGTGTGAAGTTTATTTAGAACCGGAGGGAGTACTTAAATACTCATCGTAAATCACGATAATACTGTAGTAATTTCAATTACTGAATACTATTTCAAGAGATACAATATGATTTTATACGATATTATTTCTTACTCCAATAGTTACGTACGTAGTATTCCGTAGTATTTTTCTATAGATTTTCTTTAAATATTTAGGATGTTTTCTTTTGGACCGAAATTTGCTGGTCTGGTCTGGTCTGTTTAAGTCTGGTCAGGTAAACGTGATCTAGTCTCTGTGTATTTTATAACTACAAAAGTTTGATCTGTTCTGGTCTGTTTAAGTCTGGTCTGGTCTGGTGTGTTTAAGTCTGGTTTGGTCTGGTCTGGTCTGGGACTGAAAACAATCCAAAAGAAAACATTATTATTGAAGCTCAACTCCAAAAGATTTTGGCAAAAAATGTGACTAACAATGCAATACAATTCAAAAGTTATGAATGTCACTACCTATTTATATGAGTGTGTTACGGTCGACAATCAATTTTTACAAGTTACTATCAGTGTCATTGCTAGTTGCTACAAGTTTCATGTCGTCGTCCAACATGTCATTTTGATCCCTCGAAAAAAATTCTAACGACCTTTTAGAAAATATTAAAAAGGGTTTTTTTCAATAAGCTTTAGCAAATGACTTACTCCCTCCAGTCCCTATTAAAGTTTTCACTTTCTTTTTTGGGATGTCCCTTATTTAAGTTCACACTTCCATTTTAGGAAACAAAACAGTGCAAAACAGTCTCAAACAGTGTCAAACAGTGTCCAAATAGTGTCAAACAGTGCACTCCACAGTAAAGTCAAATTTATTTTCTTAATCTGTGTGAAGTCAAACTGAGAACTTTAACAAAGACCGGAGAGAGCATTTGATGTCGCTAAGGCAACAAGGGGGTGGGCGCAATATGATACTCCGTAGTACACAATTAGCAATATTATTAACTTTCAAAAGTTATTTAATTCTCTCAATATGATATACGATAGTACATAATTCAGAACGTATTTGTATTATATTTTACGTAATAAATTTTGATAAATTTATTTATCTCGGTGATTTTAGAGCTCGTTTGGTAGCATTAAATTAGGAATACTTTGTATCTTTGGAAACCTTTTATTATTATAAATATATATGTGAGGTACCCTATTGGGTAACCTTTCCCATTATTTTCACACCAGATACAAAATCACCATGTCAAAGGCTACACTCGGATGAGCCTCAGAGTTGTAATCACGCATAAGAGCGGCCCAACTTGCTAATCCCGCAATGTGGTAGACTTCACTAACAGCAACGGTGCACCTGCAACTAGAATTGAAATTAAAACAAAGCAACAACACAAATCAAACATGCTGGTTTTACCAGCCACCGGGAAGGGAGAAGAGATTTGTCCATCCTCCTCCGAAGGAAGCATTCTGATTTTACCAGTCATCGGAAAGGGAGAAGAGGTTTGTCAAACCATCTCCAAAGGAATCATATTGTGTATGGGACCTATCTGTATTTTAGGCGGTATTGTTTCGGGAGCACTGTCGCCTTGCCATTTTTTGTTCCCTCACCATCAACCTCCTCAAATTGACATCCTTTCATAAGCCTGGTTTAAGCTCTCCATTAATAGCCAATAAAACGATTGTCAGATCCGAGACGGAGAAAAAGAAGCAACAAGATTCACGATCAACAGCCCAAACACGTTCACGATTGGAACGGATCAAACCCCTGGCCAGAGAAACTCAGTCGGACAAACCCTTGGTCAGAGCAGCACTCATCCGGACAAAACGACTGGAACCAAAGCCCGTAAGCCAACAAAACCTGAAACAGAAACGAAAACAGAATACCAGAACCTTGTCGGAGAGCCCTCACCAAACGCGATTGAAAGCCTTGCCGCAATCGATCGATCAAAATAAGTTATGCATTCCACCTGTATTCGATGCTAGGGATCCGCCACTAGGCTTCGACCATATCAGCGTTTCACGTTCATGCGTATAGGTTCCCCAAAAGAAAGATAAAGGGTGTCACTCCTTTTTCCTTAACAATGAAATATTTAGAAATTGCTCGATATAGGATAAAAAGACAAAATTCAAAAATAAGATGACTAAGTATGTTTTATTTCTCAAATGAGACTTATTTAGTCATATTAAAAGAATAAGTTGATTAAAACTTTCCAAAATCGAAGTGTATTGGTCATATTTTGAGAATAAGAATGTTTTTACTTGGACTATAATTTGTTGATCTAGTCTAGTCTGGTTTGGTCTGATATGGTCTAATAAACTGGTCTGGTCTGGTCTGGTAAATGTCTGGTCTCTATGTATTTTATAATTGAAGTCTAGTGTGGTTTGTTTAAGTTTGGTCTGGGACCGAAACCAATCCAATTAAAACATCCTAACATGCATAACCATACTTATACTCCCTCCTCCGTCCCTTAAACTTCCAAGTTTAACCGGAAAGAGGATTAATAAAGTAAAAAATGTGTAAGTAATGTTTGTGCAGAGGAGATATAATTAACGAAAACCACACATTCTTTATTTCAAAAATGAAAATGAAAAGTTAATGGGACATCGAAAGAAAAATTGAAAAAGTTTTAAGCGAGGGATGGAGTACTTATTAACTTTGTCATTCTTTTAGTTTTCTAAAATACTAGGGGATACACACATGCATAATTGGATTGGCAAAACCCCTTGAGCTCATCTCTGACACACATACGTAAGATCGATATAAAGTCAAACTTGATCAGACAAAAAGGATTCAAATCAAATTAGACAAAATTAATAAAATCATTCTTATAAAATGAAAAAAGGAATTATAGAACATTTGAACTATATTTTATGAGGTAATGCTGTATAAGATGTCCGCTTGCCCCTATGGCCAGTATATGAGTACGAGAGTTCATCTTCTAAATATTAGGTTGTGATGGAAGTAAATCCACCGGAAAATAATTAATAGATAGCCGAAAATAATTAAAGCACTAAGAATAATACTTAGAGAGATAAATGTATATAGTGTATTCAGTGTATTCAACTTGATCGTTCTTACAAGAGTTACATGAATTTATAATACAAAATTGAGACAAGAAATATTTGGGCGACGTGGTCGCCATGCCTGAACTGACGCGCCACCATCCTCTGATTTGTAGGACTGATTGCGAGTTGACCCGTGATCTTCGAGATTTGGTGTTGGTCACGTAGCTTCTGGGAAGTAGCATCATGCATGTGCGATGGTCTAAGCGCTTGTGCACCACGCGCGTTGAGGCTCACCATGTGATGCTCAGCAGGCCGTATGGTAGAGGTAAGAGTGTGTCGTGCTCAGCATGTCATGTCTAAGCCCCATTGTAAAGATAAGATCACGTCATACTCAGCGCGCCATATCTTTGTAAATGTGACTCCATGATTCTCAACCCGGGTATGTTGACCATGTACTTCCCTGTGCCTGATGCCCATGATCGTCTTGTCCATATCATTTATGGGCTAAGCCCACCTTCAATCGGGCTTACCATATTGGGCTGGTATTTATGTCATCAGGTTGATATCTATCATTACAAATGAAGAGAAAAAAATGAGTGTATTACATAGATCACATTAAAATTGATGCGAAGTATTACAAATTAAGTTTTAAACTTGGACATATTTGGGGTCTAGACCAGATTAGATCTGGGACTAGTCCACTACCTTCGAATAGCAATACTAGTCAGATACTGAGATGAACTTCAAATTGCTCAAGCGGTAAAAATGAGGGGGTCTGTGTTATCTCAATTTGGTGGTGGATGACATTATGGAGTCACTTAAAGTACATGCAAATTTTAGGGTCCAAGAGACATTTTTTAGTTTTCTTTTTTTGTTTTATATTCTCCAATTTTCTGTTTTAACTTTTAAGTTTTTCTATCTCCAATTTTATATTTTCATTTCCATTTTCAAATCTAAGAACATGTTAATCATATTTTTCCACCCGGTTATGTGATCGACCGAAATAAAGTACGGTCTCCGTCCCGAACCGAATCTAGTGCAGCTCAAGTAGGGTACCCGGTCCCGGATATTGGAAAGTTGGGACTGAAACCGGCCGGTTCCGATCGGTACCAATGGATAGTTTCACTGATTCTTTTCTCTTTTCCCTATTGGTTGGCAAACCAATGAGTCTTTTTGAAAATTTTTAATTCGAATAAATAATTTAAAACGGGGGTCGAACTGTCTGGTCGTCGATCAAATCGGACAGGGACTGTCGCGTCATTGACCGGCCGGCCAGGACCACCTGGTCATCGATGAGATCGGATAGGGACTGCCCGGTCATCGACCATATCATACATGCACTACAACATTCGTGTATTTCAAAATTGGAAAATTAGTAAAACTCATTCTCCAATTTTTTGGTTTTGGAATTGATTTGGTAAATACATTCTGCCGTTTTCTTTTCTCCAATTTTTCAGCAGATGTTTTCGGTAAACATGTTTATTGTTTTCCTTTTCCAATTTTTCAGTTTTCTGAAAAATATCTCTATTAGTAAATATGCCCTTAATTTTTTATTTTGTGTCAAATTGGGTTGCCTATGTTGTCGCACAAGCAAATGTTTTAAGTTCAATGGAAAACACTTCTTTAATCCATTTCCCCTTTTAACAATTTTCACTGGATTTATTCGAATAATTTTCTTACATTTATCATCTTTTATACTCCGTATTTTTTATTTTTTATTTCTTCTTTGGGGGAATTTGACTTTGCACCCCACATTTGGGATGAAATTGGACTTTGCACCCTATTTTAAAAAAACTTTGATTTT